CACAAGCCGCCGCCTCACGGCCGGCGTACCACAAGGCTCCTGCCTCTCACCCTTGTTATTTACGCTCTACACGAGCGACATACCTAGAGACCCCCACGTCAATCTCGCGCTTTTTGCGGATGACACGGCGCTCTTTTACTCAGATCGCAACCTCAGTCAATTAACGACTCGAATCCAAAGCGCCGCCGACCGCCTCGGCGATTGGTTCCGCAAATGGAGAATCGATATTAATCCAGAAAAAAGTGTGGCGATTCACTTCACTCGTAGCACCCCCAACCCCCATCCGCCACACCGTTACTTAGGTCCTCGCCAGTACAGAAAGTTGGGGCAAATATCACTATATGGCCAAACTCTCCCCTGGGAGAAAACGGTCAAATATTTAGGAGTCACTTTCGACTCGCGTATGACTTTCACTACGCACATCAATCAAGTCCGAAATAAAGCCGCGTTCGTCTCCGGCCGGCTACACAATTTAACGAATAAGCATAGTAAAATGCCCTTAAGGCTCAAACTACTGTTATATAAAGCTTGCGTAAGGCCAATCATGTCCTACGCTTGCATGATCTTCGCACATACAAATCCTACGCGCATTAACAAATTGCAAGTAGTTCAAAGTAAGTTTATCCGCCGCGCAACCGGTGCGCAATGGTATCAGCGCAACGTCGACCTGCACAGCGATTGCAGACTCCCGACGATTCGCGCTCATTTTAAAGATTTGACAAAACGGTTCTTCGATAGAACCCAGCATCATCCCAACCCTTTGGTGGTAAGCGCAGCAAACTACCAACCGGACACAAACGCGAACGTAAACAAGCGTCGCCCGCGAAACGTCCTCATCGATCCGGTCGACGAAGAGGACTTAGATACGATGGACCCACCGCCGGGGCTCCCGCCGGATAACACTACACCCACAGTTAGTGTAACAACAATCACACCAGTTCGCCCTCGCCTCCGAGCACGGCGAGACCCACACAACGCGTACACAAGGTACACCCGCGTTCCGGGGCGGTTCTCACCGCTCCCAGCCACCGATTAGCTAAATGCACAGTCGACGGCCGTCGGGGTCTCGGTCCGAACCGGCGACCTCGACGGCCCTTAGATGACACACCATAGTAGTTAAACGCACGCATGAGCACATGCGCGACCCTACCCATAGCGGAGGGTCCAAACCCGTGGGTTCTGGCTAGCCCACCGGTTCTGCGTCCGATGAATCTTTAATAGTCTCGGGACTGAAAGCAAAAACATCAGTTAATACAAGATACAAGATACTAATTAATATCATAATACGTCTTTTTTATTGATATTTATTTGCATGTATGAAAGAAATTAGATTTATATACAAGCTATAATAGTTATGCCTTAAATCCTTCTAGGGTATTTAATTGCAAATATAAAACTATTTTAATCTTTAATTTTCTGTCCTATCCTCCGCATTTAAGATGAACTTCAAAACGTGTATTTAAAGCTGTTGCAAAATTATTCGCAGCTGCCAGAATTCGAACCTGGGTCGTCTGGATTACGCAAGCTCGAGATTCTAACCGCGTACAAAACTGGACAAGTAGAAAAAAGTATGGAAAGTTTTTCACCAATGTGGAAATCGAACACACGTCTTCCGTATTCATACTCGCTTTACCTTTAGACGCTTAACCACCATACTAAATGGCCCTCGAATGAAAATCACAAAGTCTTTATATTCATCGCTTTTTACTTTTCTCTCTTTTTACTATAAATTTTAATAAAGTTTCGATCACTTATTTTCAAAATTTATCTTTTGGGGCAACTTATTTTTATACTAGAACGAATAAATATTGATTTATTAGTTAAATATCAATTCCTTATCCGCGTTATGCAGAAACTTCTACTGTTGTACTAATAGGCAGAATCACCTTGGTAAGTAGCCATACAGAAGACCGGCATGAAGTGAAACTGCTATAATATAACCTTTGGCTTTTTATTAATGTATAATATAATTTGATAAACGAAAATATTAAGAAAAAAAACAACTTTTAAAAATTCTGATTGCAAAAAGATTCGGTAGGCAATAAGAAACATTCCATCAAGTTCCAGTTATTACGAATCCATTAAAATTGACGTTTAGCTTCGACATTAATGCCTATTCAGTACTTCTGAGATTACATTATGAATTAAAATGTTAGTTTCGTGTTATATGATTTCTAAACGCAACTTAATGGATATAAACTATATAATAATTTCGATGATTGCTTGGTTGTAAGTTGTTTTCAACTGTTTCCCAAGATTTGCAATGGCTACGGATAATTTTTCCGGATTTGGATATTTATCCTAGTTTTAATTACAATACCTTAGAAATTTAAATTGTTTATAGTGCTAATCTTTGCACTTAAGATTTTCTACATATTTTAATGTACAATACCTTACTTTTAACGTCTTAAGGGCATAAGATTATGTTATTCTACAAAACGGCAAAGTTTCCTTAAAAAAATAGGTATAAATATTATTCTTAGGTATGTATTTCAAGATTTGAAATAAGAGTTCGGCAATACAAAGGACCGATGAAAATGCAATAATTTAAATAGTTTGTCCCGTTATCCTTGAGAAATGAAGGAATAGCGATATTCCAAATATGACACTCGGCAATGCCTTTGTGCCAAGAACGTGATTAAGAAATTAAAAAAAAAAACACGATTTTATACGATTTCACCTGATGTTAAGTGAATGCCGCCGCCCATGGACATCTGCTACACCCGAGGGTCGTAGATGCGTTGACAACCTTCTGAAAATTAGGCTCCGGCCACCTCACTCACCAGACGAAACCCAAAAATATTATACTTCCACTTCACGCCGGTCTTCTGTGAGATCGTGGTACTTACCCGGACGAGCCTACCCATTCGTGCAACAGACCGAGGCTGCTGCGTGGCCCTACCACCGAAGTGATAATAGAAAATAAATAATAGTTTAATAAAATTGAGTTTGTACAGTTTTTCTCTCTTCTTTTTTTTGCGAGTTATTGTCGGATCGTACAATGAACATATTTACGTGTTCCTACGAGTGGTTCGAGTTATTAACTAATGCCTTAAAAAAACTAATGCCTTATAGATAAAATTAATTCTTTAAGGTGTTGGAAAGTAAGCATAATTTTAACTGATGCGGATTTTGCGGGATTTGAACCTGCGTCTCCCGGGTAACCCAAGTACTTTACCAACTAAACTAAGCGAACGATGACTTTACAGCGCGACTTTATTTTGTGGTGTTCACAGAGATCGGTATGAAATATACACGATAATTTTTAAGCTTTGTCATTTCTGGCAAAGTTATTCATAATATATTGACAATGCTTGGTTCAAAAAATAATTATCAATTTATTATAAATTTTTAATTACCGTGAAAATAAGAAAACAAAAGGTAGTTTGGTACAAAACTTGTTTAGGAATTTTCGATGTAAAACAAAAAAAATCAATAATATTTTCAATAATTATAATTAAAACACAATTGAAGACATTAAAATTAATTAATTTGGAGACTTTGGAATCGAGATTTTGGAACATTGAAAACTAAATCTACATTGCCACGGTTATCTCAAACCTTAAAATATCGTTTATTTAATCAAGGACTCTTTTGCAAGCGATAATAAACAGATCACGGCCAAATTAATGGTACAAACCCGTCGACCATTAAATCAACGGCAATTTACCGGCGACTATTTGTATGTGAATACCTGATTGCCGGTGCAGACGGTAACCAAAATATAATAAATATATATTGGCGAATTAATTGAATTTTAGATAAGTTCCAAGCTGTTTTTATATTAATGATCTTGATAGTATAGATAATAGAAAATAACAAAAGTGTATCTCGTTTTCGAACTTATTCTTATATCAGCGGAGTTTATTCCACGGGATGCATAAGTTTAAAATTACAACTTTAAATTAATTTGGCTGAGCAGGATTAAAACTACTTATCCCTTTTTAACGAGTACATTTGGGGCTGTAATTAAATTTTACGCTATGTGTCCTACGTATAAAGTTTTACCCTTTTAACTAGCGATTGAAGTGCATAGAGGAATTAATATAAAATTATTATATAAAGTTCTCTATTGTATTAATTAACTTATTATAGTAAAATTTAAATACGTTTATTGCGTTCATTCAGACCAATTAAATAAGGATCGCAAGGGCTATTGATATAAAAATAGATCATCATAATCCAACTAAGATCATCGCCAAGAATTAACAAAATTACGAATTTTATTACATAGTACAGTACAATTATTGCATATCTATTTGTAATGGATTTTTTTTAATAATAATCTTGTAACACAATGGTCCTTCATTTGATACAAATATTTGTAAGGGAAGTAATCAAAAGAAGAAAGAAAAACAAACTATTTTCATTCCGAAGTATCTAAATCACATTGTAGATTAAAAAGCGGAAAAAATCTACCTAATCTAATCCTGGCCACCCATATGCTCGTTAAACTGTTAACCGTGAGGAAAGATAGGTTCTCGAGTGGCAGCCTCGTACTAGCCATCGCAGTATAGAAAAAAATGTACGGGAAGTCGATGGAAGCAGGTGGCTCAGGATCTTATTTCGTGGCAGTCTGTGGGGGGGCCTATGTTCAGCAGCGGACTTTAACAGGCTAAAATGATAATGATGATGTAAAAATAATCAAAATTTGGACACGCTCAGAGTAAGTAATTAATTATTGTAAGCGAGGATTTATGGCTGTTCTAGTTTAACGATTCTAAGTGTAGAAATAATTACATTGCCTGTGTACAAAGAAATTAGTTTATTGAATATTGATTAGAGTATTTTTTCCCAAAATGTTCCATTTATGCCACATTAAAATGACGTGCAAAATATGTAACGTTCTGTCTATACATAAGACTGAACGTTACATATTTTACACGTCATCAATTGAATTTATTCGTATGACAAATATCAATGTTTGTCATACGAATATCAAATGTTCGTGTCTCATCCCCAGAAGGTTAAATATATATGGATTGAGAATAAAATAATTACACGTAGCGACCATCTGAAATAAAAGTAAGAAATACATTATAAGATCGTATCCTAAATGTATTTCTCGTACAAAGGACACGCCGGCAAAACTTGAAAGAGGAGTAGTCTCGGTGTGCAGATAACATTTACATTGGGACAAAATAAAGTGAAAAGTGATTTTTCCTGCTCAAAATTCTCCATTCTATAATTTATTTATCTATTTAGTTAAATGTTTCGCGTTTTTTATTATCATACTTTTATTTACAAAAATAATATTTTTCACCATTAATTAAACTTATTCGATATAAGCTGCCTATTCAAATAAAATAAGGCAAGCTATAATATCATGTTGCAGCACAGCAGTGTTAAAGCACAACCTTTGCAAAATTACTCAACTATTCCATTACTGGGAATGGTAAATTTTTGTAATAGCACCGTTTCCTATCTTGTGTCTTGAAGTAGGAACGATAAAGTTTCTTAACAATATTCAGAAATTCAAAACTAAAGAAGTTCTGTTTAATTTTTAAATATTAATCCATATTTTTTGAGAGTCAAATTGAATTGTCGTGTCTCATGTAAAAATGGATCTGCATCGGAATCATTTTCGAGCAATGATATTTTTACGGTTTCAAAATTTGGCGCTAAATCCGGACGAGTCGTTTGATTGACTTCAAATGGTTGCCTTTGAAGGACAATCAAAAGCAACCATCTGCCGTTGGCATTACGAATTCAAATGCAGTCGTCTAGCTCCGGGGGATGAACAAAGAAGTGATCGTCCTTCCAAGGCTGTTACCGAAGCATTGTTCTTTTTTTTTTTTTTTTTTTCGTGAGGCATTTGGATACCAGGCCTCTCTCACAATAGAGAAGCAAGGTGATGTCGGACTCGCACCGACTAAAACCCCACGGTGGTCGTCATCAGCTGTCATGTGGGGTCACGGGATCTCCGTTTGGAACACTACCGCGGCCCCCCTTAGCTTGGCTTGAAGAGCCTCATCCCGGTAACATCATTTCACTGCACTTACCCCTGTGGTGCAACCACGATGGCTTGAACCTACTTCAAGCCATTATCGTCCTTAGGTTCGCTTTACTGAGCTATAGGCCCAGTCGCTCGCGATCCCTGAGGCCCCGATTCCGGTAGGGGAACACTATTTATACATGGAGGACCGTAACGACATGTACCCTCGCCTCGGTCATCCCGTCTCCGAGAGGGATCTGTCTTCTCCCGATCCCTCTCTGCAGCCTCCTTCTTGACCATTACGGTCTCGCAGAAAGAGGTTACGGCCCTCCACGCTGCATCTCCGCTCAACATCGCCGATATGATTGCTGGCAAAGAGAGGTTTCGTCCGATATACGTTACTAGGATATTCCGCTCCGTTTCCCATGCTGGGCACACCACAAGGGTATGCGTTGCGGAGTCCTGGTAATTTCCATCACAGTGAAAACAATTCGCCGTTGCCTCGCGACCGATTTTACACAGATAATCACCAAAGCATCCGTGCCCAGTGATTATCTGTGTAAGTCTGTAGGTAAGTCTGCCTTCCCGTCGCTGCATCCATGCTTCGAAGACTGGCAGGATGGCTTCAATAACGCGTTTATGTGCGTATTTTCCTTACTGAGCCGATCGCGCCAGACCAGGAAAGCAGAGTGCCGTTCCTGCCGCTTGATGGACTCGAGCGCCTCTTCTGGCTCGTTACCACCGCTCTGACGGAGGGCGCGAATCCGATGGTACACCCTCGCGTCCATTTCCGCCAGTATGTCCAGAGGTGGAAAGCGAGCCAGGACAGTTGCCGCCTCAAAGGATATTGTTCTGTAACCTCGTACAATCCGTACAGCCATCCGTCTCTGGACGCTGTAAATCTTAGACCTACAGCGCCGGACGGCAAGCCTTTTAGACCATACGGGTGCCCCATATAAGGCTACGGATCGTACAACCCCTGCATAGAGGCGGCGAACTTCTTCATTTGGTCCCCCAAGATTAGGTAGCAGTCTGTGCATGGCACCCGCTACCCTCTCAATTCGGGGGACAAGGCGCTCGAAGTGTTCTTCGAAGCCCCAGCGACTATCTAGGATTAGGCCCAGGTACTTCATGTACCTACCTACCCTGACTTCAGACCCGCCCACACAGACACACGTGTCGGGCGGTTCCCTTCCTCGTGGCATTCTATGGAACCATATGGCCTCGGTCTTATGTGGTGCTATTTCTAAACCCAAATCGTGAATTTTAGTCACGATGATTTCCGCCCCAAACTCAGCAAGATCTTTGGTCCTCTCGAAGGTGTCCCCGATAGCGACTATCAACGTATCGTCGGCATAACAAACGACGTTCACATTATTGGGCAGATCGACACGTAGGACGGCATCGTACGCCACATTTCATAGTAACGGACCGAGGACAGACCCCTGTGGAACACCGCAATGAATCTTCCTCCGGATCTTGTTGCCGTCTTTGTCCATGTATAAGATATACCTATCCCGCAAGTAGTCCGCGATAATGCCTTGCAGATAAGGGGGCACTTGATGGTAAGAAAGCCCCCCTATTATGGCATCCCAGGGTAGAGAATTAAAGGCATTGACAATGTCTAGACTTATCGCCAATGCTACGCCACCCTGGCAAACTGCCTGATCCGACAGGAAGCGGACGCGCATGATCGCGTCTATCGTGGAACGCTCCTGTCGGAAACCAAACTGATATTCTGATAGATCGCGACCGACACGCGATAGATGCCTATTGAGACGAGCAGCAAGAATTCTCTCAAACAACTTGCCAATCTCGTCCAACAGGCATATGGGACGGTAAGCAGAGGGAGATTCTGCAGATCTGCCTTCCTTTTTTAAGAGAACTAATCTTGACTCTTTCCAGGCAGTAGGGAACGTGGAACTACGGAGGCAACTAGTGAATAATTGCCTCACCCTGTCCCCCAGTGCAATTAGGCTCAGCACCCAGACCCGACCCGGTATTCCATCGGGTCCTGGTGCATTGTTCCGGGCTCTTAAGCGGCTGGCAGCACGATCTAGCTCCTGGACGGTCACCACCATCTCGTCTTCCCAATCCCACGGAAGTAGGCGAGGGTCTAGGGGACGTGATTGGTCTGCTGGGAATAGTACGTTGATCACTCGTCCCAGCAGGTTCGGATCTAACGTTTCCGTGAGGGGAGGCATCCAGGGCCTAAGCCTACCCAGCACCATCCTATAAGGACGCCCCCATGGATCTGCGTTGAGTCCCTCCAAGAGCTCAACCCAAGCTCGAGTCTTGGCATTTGTGATTGCGAGATGCAATGCCTTCGTAGCCGCTCGGTAAGCTGTATAGAGACTAGCTGTCTCCTCAGCCGTTGCTCGCCTTCTTCTACGGGCTCTGGTATATTGGCGTCTGCTCCGCAGACAGACAGCGCGCAGTCGAGATATTTCCGCCGACCACCAATACACCGCCTTGCGCTTGGGGCTACTTGCCCGGGGCATTGACACATCACATAGTTGAGTCATAGTGCTCCGAAACCAGGTTGCTTCTCTTTCCGGGTCGGACGAAACCCCTTCAGTATCTTTAGACCATGCAGCAACATTGGCGGCAGCTTCGAGTAGGTCCCGATTCAGTCGCTTGAGACACCAACGACGCGGTGAGCTGCTATCACGGTGACTAGACATAGTATTTGGGCGTCGGGGAGCGATCTCAAAAATGATGTGGCGATGGTCAGATAGCGTGACCATCTCCTCCGCAACCCGCCATCCCGATACCAATTGTGTCGCAGAGGGAGATGCCCATGTCAAATCAACAATCGACTCCCCCTGCCACCGCACACAGGTACTGACGGAACCCCGATTCAGTAGTCGAAGGTCCAGTCCAGCCGCCCATTCTTTTAAAGCCTCCCCTCTCGAATTGTTTCTGGGGTTCCCCCACTCCCTGGCGTGGGCATTAAAGTCCCCGAGAACAATTAACGGGTGAGGTGGGCAACTGCGAACACACTCCGCTACCTCATCCAGGTACAACTTGTAGTCGGCAAAGTAACCCATTAGGAGTGACGTAGCAACCAACGATGACCAGGGTGCCCCAGTGCACTGCAACAAAACCCTGCCCCCTATTCAATAGGGTGCAGGGTGGGGCATCCATCCTACCTTCCCAGTAAATGCCTACGGAGCCCGAGTCATCGGCAAACCAGCGGGGATCATCAGGCACAACGTAGGGTTCCGCTATAACTGCTAGGGCAACCCTCCACTCCGTAATTGTCTGCATGAACAAATTTTGAGCATTACGGCAGTGGTTAAGGTTACCCTGAAGTACTTTTAGGAGGTTCGTGTTGTTTTACATGTCAGTGACCTCCATCACCGAGATTTCACCCGGTGCTGCAGCTGTAGTCGCTGAATTCGCCAAGCTATTGGAAACTTGCGGTACGGTCTCCCCACGCACATCTTTTTTACCCTTCGTTTTGAGCGGCTGGGCGCACTTCCTACCCAATCGGTGCCCAGAGGGGCGCCCTAGGTCTGAGCAGAGGGGGCATTTTAAGACCGAAGTGGAACAATTCTTCACCGTATGACCAGGCTCGCTGCAGGCGTAGCAGCGATTGCTACGGTCAACATTATTGGGGCACCGGCTTCCAACATGTCCTTTCTCAAGGCACCTGTAGCAGTGCATGGGCCTGGGTTCCAATAATTCTACTCGAGCAAATCCCCACCCCACACGTACACGCCCAGCTGCTGTTATCTTACGGACCGCCGTAATGGGGCATCGTGCCCAGCAAGTTCCCATGCTGGTCGGTGATCGACGGACCTCCCCAACTTTTACGTCGTCAGCCGAACAACCACCCGTGTCTGCAATCGCAGCTGCTAGTTCTGAAGAACTAACAGAGTCATCAAGGTCTCTAAGCCGAACGTCGCCTGTCTTTACAGGGCGATTGATACGGACGTTCGATTCTGAGAGGACCTCTCGTAGCTTAGCCGCCAATTTATCCGCTTTCGGGCCACAGTCAGTGCCGCCGATCTCCATTAGTATGCCCCCTGTAACGGCACGCTTCTGACGGATAGCCTCAATTCCAAATTCCTCTAGTTGAATTTTCGTTTTGGCGTCCTTCATTATGCTGCCGTAGGTAGCGGTGGAACCTTCTCGTAACGTTATTGTTACAGCCGCAGATGTTGGGGCGCGGACGGGTTTCCGTTTCATGTTTTTGGGCCGTTCGTTGGACACATAGCACAGCTGCGATTTTTGTGTCGTCTGGTGTACTTTTCGTCTTTTAGCCACATCTGCCCAAGAGTTTGTCACTGCAGATAGAGAAGTTTGCAGAACAGGCTTCGCTACAGGAGGTAAATCTGCCACTGGTGGATATGTGGGCTTCTGCCGCTTCTTCGTCTTCTTTTTATTTCTCTTCTTTTGCGACGGTGCTATTGCTGAAAGCGACTGCATTGGCGTTGTTAGTTGCTTAGATGCAACCGTCGTGGACTTCATTCCCAGTGGTGGGCGGAGCGCCTTGCTAGGTAACAACCGAGCTTCGAAAGCGGCCAGTTTAGTCTCGATAGGCGCTCCAATTCGTTCCATTAGTGCCTCCTCTCCACTACTGGGCGTTGGAGCATCTATATTTGACCGAGCAGATGAGTTATTGAGACTGACTCGTTCGTGAGTTTGTTTACGCAGGTAGTTAATTTCCTCCGTCAGCTTATCCGCTCTGTTGCTAAGGCTAGAGAGTGTTGAACGAAGCTCAGCATTTTCTCTCTCTAGTCTAGCGATATTTTCGTCAGGAGTGGCCCTTCTGGCAAGCTCGTCAGCCGCGGCTTTTACATTCCGCACAGCTAGCCTTAAGCTCTGAACGAAGCTTCCCTTTAAATTGCGGGATCGATTCGCTACCTCCTCGATGGCCTGAAGCTGGCGGTCAATGTGGTCTTCAATTATGCTGTCAGCCTGAGACCGCAGGTCTAAAGCCAACTGATCTGTACTAGGCAAAGTTGTTTTTGCCCTGGACTTCGATGATACCACTGAGAGGTCGGCAAAGTCCTCTTCCGTGTCGACCTCAGTAGCCATATCCTCCACTTCAGTAGGGGTTGCCGAGGCAGAGGCTGCTACCGCCTTGTATTTAGCGGCCACCGATTTAATACTCGGAGCCTTTGCCTTTCTTTTTCGCGTGTCCTCGGAAGCAATGGATACGAGTGACACCTGGGAACAATCAGACTCAGCTTCTTTTGGTTCTCTAGAATGAGCTAAGCGTCCCCGCCTACCCCGTCTTCCCCTTGAGTATCGTGCCGAGTTATTGGGTTCTCCCAGCACAGCTCCCTCCTTACATTGTTGGTCCCTGGATGTTAGGCGACCCGCGGACGATGTAGATGTATCGCCGCAAAACAGTGTGTTGCCCCCCCCAGATACGATGGGGCTGCCTAGGCTAGGCCTAGGGGTGGATTCTCCGGCATTGCCGGTACCACCCTGGGGTATTAGTATGTTACCCACTGTTTCCATGTTTCCTTTTTACAAGGGTTAGGTCCCTGAATTTCCCCCCCCCCCCTTCCCCCTGAGCGCTTGGCACTGGAATACCACCAGCGATTCACCCCATCGGCACGCTCGACCTTAGGGTTGTGGGATTTTTTATAGAGGTTGCCTTCCTCATGGCCGTTAATGGCCCCCGCTCCCGAAGGTTTACGGGTTGTGCGATGTCGGCAATAGCCGAAATGCGCGTAGCATATCACCGCACTTGTCACGTCCATTGTTCTTTTCTTAAGAAAGAAACATGGAGTGATCTAGAGCCTCAAAGGCCCACCCCGGAGGCAATCCTTTGCAGGATTCCCTCTTGGCCATTTCTCGAATCTTTAAAGATTCGAGGGTACGCCCCTAACCCAGCCAGTTTTGGTCCACGACGGATAGGGGAATACCACCCATATCTAGGTGGCATTCCCCTATCCGCCACCTGGGGACGCGCCCGATGGGAGATCTGGCAACTCCTCACGGGACCGAAGCATTGTTTTAGTAGTGAAAACAGGCGAATTACATACAAAGAGATTCGGCATACATTGCACTGCTTCAACATGACAACGCGCCCGCGCACTCAGGACTCAAAACCAGGGTCTTCCTGGACACCACACCGGTCAAAGTCTTGGGTCACCCTCTTTACAGTCATGATCTGGCACCGTGTGACTACTTTTTATTCCGTGTAATAAAAATCAATTGAAAGGGATACAGTTTTCATCGCCAAAAGACGCGCTGACAGCGTTTGAAAAGGCCGTAGAAGAGGTGTCTGCGGCGGACTGGAAAAATTGCTTCGAAAATTGGTTCAGACGCATTAAACATTGTATAGAGGCAAACGAAGAGTTCTGTGAAAAGATTTAATGGAAATATTTTATTCATATTATATTTAAGTAAATTATTTAGTTTCTCTTGGAAACTTTCTGATGGATACCAGGTATTGGACTGATTGTGACTATCGTTAATATTTCTTAAAGTTAAAATTAAATTGTAGCAAATGATATAGATGTTTGTATAAATGAAATCGAAAAAGGTACTATTTATAAAATTACGAGAAACGGTTTAAAATCGTCAAGAATCATACGCTTACTTCCCCGATACATGAGCTGACAGCTATATCCGGATAAGGGATTCGCTAAAAGGGTCGTTACTTAAATACTTATCGTTTTTGAAGACATTTCCCTTTCAAACTATTTAAGTTTTAGTCTTTCATTCATAAATGTTAAAAATTTATTCACACATTCAAATATGAATTTTTTGTTAACACTCAAATTGAATAAAATAAATAATAACAATAATTGCACCATCTAATAGACAAATCACACCAGTTTGGAAAACAAATCAGAATTATATGCGCTCTCTCTGCCCATGGATATTTGCATCCCTAGGATTGCAGATGCGATGCCACCTTTTAATAAAGTGGGCCCGGCTACCTCAATCACCAGACGAAACGCAGAAGTGTAACACTTCTACTTCACGCTGGTCTTCTGTGAGGTCGTGGTACTAACCCGGACGGACCAGCCCATTCGTGCAACAGCAAACACCGTTGCGTGGCCCTACCACAGTTGAACAGTGTACGTACGCTTTGTGTGCGGCCAGCGTTACCTCGGTAACCTCTTAGTATATTTAATTATGAAACTGTTACATATTTATCCTTGCACCAGGAATGTGTCATTTATGGTAAACAACTAATTGTTAACTCCCTATGATCACGCGGGCGAAGTTGTGGGATCAGCTATTAAGATAACCATGTTTAGTCATTTTCTATTATCGCCGTTATTTGGAAATTAAAATTAATTATGGACAACGCTAAAAGGGATACACCCTTTCTTTTAAGCGTTGTCATTGTTTCTTTTAAGCGTTGTAGTTGTTAGTCTGACGTTAATGGAATAATTATTTGTAGTTAATTGCATGAATGCAGATTATGCAAGTGGAATCAAAATACTTACTAATGGAAAATAGTAATAATTCCATCTCTCGTCTGCAGTTTTCGCACGATAGAACATTTGACATAATTTCACACAGTTTTAATTTCAGAGGCAAATACATGTTTTTATTCTAAGGCGAATAATTCGTATTGATGGCGGTTTGCTGCAAATACATCCATTTTATTACACAACTACGTACTGCTTTGATATGCCGAATTAGGAATTTAGACGTATAATTATGTAATAAAATATAAAAAGTAATCAACTGCATAATGGAGAAAAGATATTTCGTAACCAGCGCATGCCATACTTTTTATGTTATAGTTTCGGAGAAATTAATAGTCATGCGGGAATCGTTGATGGACAAGCACAGCATTAACCTACTAAAATGGCTTCTGAAATTAAAGATAAATTAAAAAGAAATGTCTAGCAGAAGAAGCAAAACCAGAAGCTGCATTAAAATAATTAATTAATTAATAGGATACACAATTACTCATGTTTTACAAAATCCCTTAGAGTTTAGAGTTTAAGCTTAGAGAAATAATACGCACAAATTTGAACCGACCTTGGGGTATTGGTTCACTTTTTCCCAGTAAACAGAGATTAGCAAATATTCTTCCAATTTCACTTTACGGTTAGCATCCGTAATATCCGGAAATAGAAGTTATGGTCAAGTAAATGCAACTTTCAAAATATTACATACAATCCAGGGAGCAACGGCCAATTTCTGCTTTTCTTACGTACCAGGATGACACTAAGTTTTAGAACCTGCCGTTTAGAAATATTGACATTTAAAACTTATAAATTTTTAATAAAGTACTCTTTGGTAAACTAATTATACTAACCTAATAATACATTTCTCAAGTGATAAAAGGTGGCTAACCAAAACAGAATCTGCTCAGTGAGTGTTTCCTTTTCAGGATCGGCCACTAAAGTAAAAAGATGATGAAGGAAAAAAGATGATTGCCTGGTTTTTAGGTCGGAAAGGACATTTAGCGACAGTCGTGCTAGAAAATGGAAGGATGGTCACTGCCGACTGGAATGTTAACTGTTGTTTGACTGTTGTCTTGGAAAATGATCGACAGAACGTCCTCAAAGCAGGGTCCTCCTTCACCACGGCCTCGCTTCAGCGCACTCCACGAAACGAACAATTGAATACTTTATTATTTTCAATTATTTTATTTTAGTTTTATTTTTTGTATTTTTATTCATATTTAATTTATTCCCACGAATCATAGATACAATTTAACTTTCACCTTTACCTGGGCCCTGAATATGCAGTGATAGCGTTCAAAAATACCGCAGAACAGGCCCCTAAGGAAGAATGGGCTCACTGCTCCCAGTAGTTCCATCGAATGTGAAGATCTATAGAGAGGAATGGAAACTACCTCGAATAATAATAAAAGTATCGGCAACTTTCAACATTGAACCGATTTACGACTTTCTAAGAACTTTCATTTAGACTCACGATTATACAATATTAGTCAAGAAATATATGTAAAGGTTCTACGTTTTTTTTTTTTTTTCAAAGTTCAATTAATTTCATTCAAATCTATAAAGGTATTGTTACGACTAACAGTTACGGGTTCGAGATTGGAGTGAAAGGTTGTGTTTGCCGGTCTTTTAAACATTCACTTGATTTCTCCCAAAAACTTGCACAGAGGCCCTGTCTGTACCACTCTATCTTCACTGCTACTACCGGTGCAAAACTCCTTGGCACCAATCCTCCGGTGATGCGACTGCCGGTGCTACGCTATCTCATTGTCACACCAATCTCCACGTATGCTTCAATAGGTGCACCGGTCCATACGTTACCGCACCAATACTTACCGAAACAATACTTTCGACTCTGCAAATTTTTTTGCTTAAACTGTTCAGACTAGGCCATACCAGTTTATCCTAGTGTGCGTATTTATATCAGGATCAACTACTTTGACCTAGCCTAAACGGGTCTAACCTATCGGGCATAGGACAAATTAATTTGGACTAACCTAAACTGGTTTATCCTATCGGGCTTGGGCCAAATTATTTTCGGCTAGGCTAAACTAGTTACTCCTATCGCGTATAGAAAGAACTAGTTTAGCCTATGCAAAACTAGTTTGTCCTGAAATCGGTAACATATACAGACCAGAGCGAGCTGCATTTCTAACATCGAAGTTACTCGACGGAAATCACTAGAACGAACTTTTTGTTGCTTTTTTGCAAGAGTTCTGTTATAAATGTGCAATATTTTTCGCGGTTTATGTCGATGTTTTTCATTTTCTTTTTTGTAACAAAACTAAGATTGCCAGGTCAGGAATTGTTTAGTAAAGTGGTTGTCAGGCCTTCTCAGGAAAGTGTACTATGTAACGCCTTATTCGGTGGAAGATTTGTTTTTTATTTTATAATTTTCTTTTAGCCTAAGGGATTTTATAACAACTTCATACATACAAAATACTGTTATGATGTTACTTATTTTTACAATTATTTATTCGAAATTAAAATACCTTTATCCTCATAATAACAGCCTAGACTCTACACACGATAATTAATCGTGATCTACATTACAATCGCAAGAGCGGAGGCCATTGATAAATAACTGTTTTTTCAACTTAACGCTTTCATACAAGGTATATCACCCTATTGCAATGAACTTTTTGTGATTACAGCTTAAGCAGATAAACTATCATAAAGGATTGATTGTCTATTAATATAAACTCAACTAATTAGGTGAGAACACAGCAATTTCTTTAGCGTAGTACAAATTCAAATTTATTCTCTTCTCGTAAATTTTGTCAATTAAAATAAGGTTTATTTAACCCTACAGTAAGAGTGAAAATAATTTCCTAGTTTGGTTCTCATTATGTTGTTTATGTGACATGAAATAATGAAACATTTTTCCCAATATTCTTCCTTAATGCTTGGCAAAAATACTAAATAACAATAAACGAGCAGATGTAAAGTTTATGTCTTGCTCCAAGAAATACTTTTATAACGAATATTTTAAAGATAAACGTCTTTTCTTGAGCTTTTCTTCTGTTTATCGTCGCGATTCCGCTGATTCGTATCAATCTTTTTTTTTGTTTCGAACCT